TAGAATTTCCAACTCACTGTTCCAGCTGGATCCTACCCATTTGTTTTTGTTCTATTCTGCGAAATTCTCTGCTGCCTTGTACAATTTTAACCTAGGAATTTTGGTGTAAAAACAAAGGAATTCCTCATTTGGTAGCCGTCTATTTTGTGGGTAAGGTTTTGGAAAGTTTCTTAGAAAACTTTCTCTTCTTCTTCCTCAAGAGCAAACCTTCATATTTTTCATCTTTGAGTTTTCCAAACTGATTTTTTGAAAATTGCATTTAACATATGAAAACCTCATCTTGCTAGATCAAACACTCTCTCATATATATCTAGGTCAGATTCAAGATTGATTTCTTCAAGAGTATGGTTTCTTGAAGAAATTGGTCATTTTCTCTTTAAATCCAAATTTCGTTTTTGTCTGAGTTGGAGCTAGCTAGCTGGTGCCATGGGATGAATGAGCTGAAGAAGGAGCTGTCATTGCCATGAAGGACCGAGCTGCTGGTTTTGCTAGGCTGGAGAAGTCTTCCTAAATAGACCTAGGATTTGTTGAGCTTGCTAGTGTTTCTTGTGAGAATCTTTTCGCTTAGTGGATTGTCTGGTCGGTTGATGACCCCCAGTTTTTCCCAATGGTGGGTTTCTAGGTGAACAATTTCTGGTTTGCATCTCTGTAATTTTCTAAGTTTGTGTTCTTGATAGTTGACTAGTCATCACATGATGTTCATGTATTTCTGGGTTTGTATTCTTGCAGTTGATTAGTCATCATTTTCTGTTGTCTGATGTTTACTTGATTATGATGCTTTCACACACTTTCACCATATTGTTGCTAGCACATGGGATGCCTAGATTGACGGGTCCTTCTGAGTGCCTAAGTTGTCACTAGTAATTCTCTAGGCTTGCAGGTACATATTGATATACTATGTGTATGTTCTTGGTTGTGATTATTCATGTCTGACAGTTGACAAGTCATAAGAGTTTTGGTCAAGGTCTAAAGTGTGTGAAGTTTGTTGTGTTTTTGTATGAGTGTCAATTAAATTTACCCCTCGTCACCTAAGTGCCAATTTCATTTGTTGATGTGCAGATCATAGGGATGTTCAGGCTTCCTCTTCTTTCTTTTTTATTTTTGTTGTTTCACTTTAAGTTGTTCATGCGCGAGTCTTTTTTTAAAGATAAAGCATTTGTTCATATCTCTCATGTTTGGGTTTTGGATAGTATTGGCTATTTCAGAGCTATCTTTTGTACTCTTAGAGCAAGTCTAATGGGACTTATCTAGCTTGGGCTAGGTCCATATCTAGCTTCAAATGGAAAAAAACACTTTCTAATGCATATGTTTGGCCCAATCCAGACAAGATAAGAGGCTGGTTTTGCCCAAGGGCTTGCATGGCAAGATTGGGCCCCACAGTCAGTTTTGATAATTAAAAAAAAGAGGTGGCGCAGCAAAAGCTGCTTTTCCAAATGTTTTAGCCTCTGAGGATCTTCCATGTGGCGCTTTCAATAACAATTGCCTAACGGCTAGTTGTTGGGCTGTTTAGTTTAGTTTCTTTTTGAGTGCTACTATTTCCACTCACCTGTCCTATTTTCCCACCCACTTTATCTTTAAAAATTTAAAGACAAATTTACTCCTTTGTAAAATGACTTCTAAGGACTTAGGAAAAAATCTCAACACACCAATAACCTCCGCAGCCTTCAATGTCTTATGACTCTTATCAACGTTCTCATGTGCTTTCCGTAAAAAATGTGCACCATCCAATATTCAAACAAACCCAATAAGAAAACATGAACAAATGCTCAAGATTGTGAAAGAAATTCAAAATCCCAACATTTCTTGAGAGATCCGCTTTTTGGTCGCTGAGAAATTAAAATAAAATAAAAATAAAAAAGCTCTAAAACCCATATTTGGTTTTATTAAGAAAAGTGAAGGCCAAGTCAAACTCAAATTGATCCATAACTATTGGTTAAACTTGTTGAATAAGATTTTATGGCGACCCAAACAGAAAGTTAGGAGAAGACCCACATGGGTAGGACGCATGGAGGTTTCAAGTGCGGAGAGGCAGTGGTCAAAGGAGCTGAGAATGGAGACAACGTTGTTAGTGATGGTTTGGCTCTTTCGCAGTAACTCGCTCATCATGGCTGCTTGGACGCTCAGTGAATCGTTGCCCATTGTTGCTGGCAAAACACCATCTTCTTCTTCCTCCTCCTTCTTCCCTCTTCTTCTACTTCGTTGTTTGAGAGTTGGAGAGAGAGGGATTGAATTTAATTGCATTATTAATTAATTAAAGGGTATTTTAGGAATAGTGGTGAGTGAAAAGATAAGATTATGTTTTTTAAAATTTACATGGTGGGTGTGAAGATAAGGTGGGTGGGAAAATAGGACATGTGGGTGGAAATAGCAGCACTCTTCTTTTTTCCTTCAGTTTTCAACGGCTAGTTGTTGGGCTGGTTTTTTTTTTTTTTTTTTTTTTTTTTTTTTTTTTTTTTTTTTTTTTTTTTTTTTTTTTTTTTTTTTTTTTTTTTTTTTTTTTTTTTTTTTTCTTCTTTCAGTTTTCAATGATTAGTTGAGCCTTTTTTTTATACCCTTTTTTATTTTAAAAATAAAAAATATACTCCAAACTCTTTTTACTTGTTTATTCTTTTCGTATTGCTTTTTTTATATACTCCAAGCCCAGGGCCAGACTTGACTTTTGGGTGGCCCTATGCGATAAACCAAATGAGGCCCCTTCCCTCAGTATACAGTTACGAAAATCAACAAATAAAATGATTTTACGTAGCACGTAGAGCACGTGAATAATGATTTTACGATAAACAATTATAGAGTATAATCCTACCTGGTCAATTATAAAGCAGTCTTAAGTCTCTTAACAGAAAAGTCATTGTCCGTGTATAATTTGGAAATTGAAAAAATAGTTTGATGGATAGGAACAAATATATATATATATATATGATTACCTTTTCAATTTCTCATGTTCCTCCCCTCTTGGTCACCATCAATCTCAAAGACAATTTGTGAGCTTTTTAGTGTGAGATTGATTCTTAGGGTTACAATATGATATGAGAAAAAAAGGATGAGAGAAACTGAAAATAATGGATGGATTGAAGAGAGATGGGGAAAACGGAGAAAAATATGGTTGTGGATTATTAAGAGATGGGTGGATTAAATAGAGCTCTTCCATGAAGAAACTAACTAGGAGAGGAATCACCTTCCTCAAGCACATGTTGTTTCTGTTTTTGCGTGGGAAATGAAGAAACCTTTTGGGAAGAGGAAACGAAGAAACCTAATTTAATCGCGTGTTGTTTCTGTTTTTATTTATTTTTAATAAATTGGACAATAGTATATATATAATATATATAAAATTTGGCGCCCCTTACTTGGAGGCCCATGGCCAAGCCCCTCAAAATTGTTTCCAAAAATAAATTTTTGTATTGCTTTTATTTTTTTTAATCATAAATAAAATAATAATAAATTAAAATAACAAATTTTGAGTTTTAGCCCTTAGCCCCTTACCACCACTAGAACCACAAACAAATTGAGAGGCTTTTTGTGAATAGTACCATTTTTAGAGGCTAAAACGGCACCTAATCCCGTGCCCCTTGCCCCTTGCCCGTTAAACATGCTCTTATAGTACTTATTATTGTTTAATAAAGCATCTCTTCCAACAACGACGACAACAACAAAAAAAGCCACTAGATTCATAAAACTCATTATAGGCATAAAATACTGTGGTTTCCTATCTTTGTGAATTTTGCAAATTTGTCAGTTTGAAACTTATTCTCTAAACTTGCCCGTGGTTGGATTACAAATACATACTGTGTGTAGATTCCAACTCGTGATAGAAATGCTCTTCTTTACAGGTTCGCACGTGCCACCTCTCTCTCTCTCTCTCTCTCTCTCTCTCTCTCGACAACTACAATATCAAATTACATATCAATATGATATGAAAGCATTTCCAGTATGAGTACAAGTCAGCAAGTTCACATTAGCTTTAGATCAAACTTTTCTCTGTAATTACCACCTTCCTTCCTACATCATGCAGAGAATTCTTGTCGTCTGCTTGCCTTTTTTTTTCCTCTCTCTTTTAATGCGAAATAGTCCCACACATGAACTGCAAGTTGCCTTAAACATCCTCATTATGTGGAAGAATCTTCACAAAAAAACATGCATGTATTAGTTGTTCGAAACCGGTGGATGCAAGTTGCACCCATTGATTGAGACGTGGAAGAGCTAAGAACCACTAATTGAGCCCCCAAAACCACCAAAACAAAACCAGCGAAACCCAAATACTGAGGAAGAAGGAATGATTGGGGGTTGGATATTCACGGGTTGCTCAAGTTTTGGAAGTGGAAATTTATTATTTTCGACTAAACACTTCAATTTTGTTCAGTTTTAGCCCTTTTTTTATATTTAAATTTAATGGTTCTATATATCGTGTGTTATTATATTTGACATGTGCTACATCTAAAGGAAAGAGCTAGGATTTTACATAACAAATTTCACGTACCATATAAATGTTTGGAGGAGCCACAAATGTAAATATGCTAATTTTTCTTGCAATATTTATATGCAATGACATATTGTATATATATGTGTTTGAAACTTTTCGGAGCCACTGGAAGCCCATGAGTGGCTCCGGCCCTAATTTACTTATGACGACATAATTATAATCTTATAGAAAATAAAATATTTTTAAAAATGATTTCGGAGTCTCTATAGGCCTTATTCCCTTTCAGTGCACAAATGTATCATAACCAACAAAATGTAGTTTCAAATATGATGTATTGTTTGAATGGATGGACACTTTAGTCTTTATATATGTACACATCATAGCATAATAGGGTCTAGCTAGCATAGGGGTCCATCTCTCGTTATTTCTGTTGCAAAATTAACCCAAACTTTGATTAGGTAGAGATGGATCGTAAGACAGCATCCATGCATTAGTTATTCTCTTTTTACTTTGATTTTTTTTGGGGCATATCAATATATCCACATGTATATGCGAGAGAGAGAGAGAGAGAGAGAGAGAGAGAGAGAGAGAGAGGTTGATGCATGCCATTAGGGAATTACAATGGGATGGGAAGTGTGTAAACTCAATAAAAGAGTCATTGAACACTTGGCACGTGAAAAATAACGTCTAGCCAAACACGAAGATAGAAATCAAGCTACAAAGTTTTGCCTCACACATGAGACATACAGATTCAAAACAATGTAACAGCTTATGCGCATTGGAAGCCAGGGGGGAATGTCTTTGCGCAACCATCAATGACCAAGCTCAAAGCAATGGGGATATTAAGGTTGATACCAAGGATATTGGCTTTAATGGCAGTGCAAAGGCACACAGCAACTTCAAGGTCAACAAGCCCTTCAAGCAAAGCACAGCAAGGGGTATCTGGCGGGTTCCCGATTATTGCTCCAACTGCCCCTTTAAGCAAATTGGCACAAACCCCCAACTTTAGGGTATCTCTAGGGCAGCTCTTCGTCGCTACACTGGGGATAGGGTTTGTTTTAGGGGCTGTGATTGGCTGATGAGGCTGCCGAGAGCAAGTGTAGCAGCCATTGGCAAGGACACAAAAGAGAAGGTTGATAGAGAGGAAGAGAGCAAGGGTTGAAGATCTCTTGGAATCCATATATATATCTCTCTCTCTCTAACTTCACTATTAATTAGCTAGCATGAGAAGCTTTTTTTTCTTTTTCTTTTGTTGTAATGGTTAAGACTGTCAAAGTGGTATTTATAGGGTGCAATGTGAATGATCCTATTCTTGGACTGATATTCATAGTGTGAGGAGCATCATGTGAAGCAAGGCTGGCCTAGAATTAGCTGGTAGTGCTCGAGATTCCACAACAAATTTGGGAGGCCTAAGGTGCATGTTCAATATTTGTTATTTTAATGCATTCTTAATTAGTTTTTTTATTTTTTGGATCACAAGATGACCAATGGCCTTCTTAGGAACACCCGTGAACATCATCCAGTACACTCCCATATATACGATTTTGTTTTATCCTCTGAATATATTAGATCTTGTATCCACTTTTTCTTTTCATCTTACAATGTTATTTGATAATTGGAATTGTTTATTTTCAATGTCATCCTTCAAGAATTATTCATGCAAAAAACAATTAACCAAATTGAAGATCATTTAATTATTTGATTAACAATGCCCTACATTTAGTGGTTAATCATTCATCTATTATTTTAATTTATAACAATTTGACAGTACCATCATAGTGATGGGTTGTGTTTTAAGGGTTTTGTGGTTGGGTTCTACTTGTTTGTTTTGTATAAGTTGTTTGACTCTTCTGTTTAGTCATTAGTATGGGTGGTACTCTTTCCTACCATGGAATATTTTTTTCTCCGGAAAAAATTTAATGAGGCCGTTGTTATCATGCTAGTTATTACCATGCAACGTTCTTATGGATTTAATGAAATGCCATCTTTTCTAAAAACAGTTAATAATTTGGTTATCTTTTTTTTTATGGGAAACAATGTATTCATTTGTCTATAATAATTTATTTGATAACAGTTCAATGATTAAAACTATAATCAATCATTAAAAAAATACACTTATAGGTGTTCATATTTCCTCGATCAATCCTTTCTATCATTGTTGAAAGAATTTCTATTGTAAAAAATTTAGAAACTACCGGATGTCCGTCTACACAAGCAAATTGTTAATAACACTCACAATTCCTCATTAGACCGACGAGTCATTCTATAGTGAGGGCCTTATATATGGCCCTTAAGTGAGGTCCTATCTCTTAATCGTTGGATCATGTTAATCAATTTGATTCAACGGTTAAGAGATAGAGCCTCACCTAAAGGCCATATATATAAGGCCCTCACTATAGAATTCTTGTTAGACAGACGACTAGTCTAACCGATTTAAGGATTTCCTAATGGATGTATGGGCGTCCATTAATAATGGGCTTTTGTCTATGCCAATGCTGGACCTTTGAACACTGAAATAGTCTACAACCACGTTGGGCTTCCCTATCCGTATAAAGGTTCACCAACACTTTCAAAAGATGTTAAATTCTAGTGCCTTTTATTATTATTATTATTATTATTATTTTCTTCACGGTTTGAAAGAATGTGTTATAGGATTACTTTGATTTCCTATATACTCTGTAATTTCAAATTAATTTAGGTGCATGAGATTCTCATAGGGTTATATATGTAATTTATGTGTTTATCTTTCTCATCACGTGTTATATCACATAATAAAAGCGATAAAAACACATACGTCTATACAACCGGTAAATAGAGATGAGCCAATAGACCTCCACTAATAAAAATCTCATGATTAACATGCAGTCTACGCAGCTGAAACTAATTTCAGCTACGCATGAAGTTAAGCATCGGATTTTTGGTTAGGCGGCGGCAAGTCGACAAAACTCCACGGAAGATGACAACCTTAAAATTTGGCCGAACATCATGAGAAATGACAATACCTAGCCACAAAGCCATCTTCCCACGAACAGCCGAAGGCTACACTTGGCTCCTAACTACCCCATAAGTCATATGACCAAACCACTAAACCAAATCACATGCTCAAATGTGATAAAATGTGGCTCAAATGCAACCGCAATAAATCTTGATGCCCTAAATTCACTGGAATTGAGCTATCCATTTAAGAACAATGTAGTATTCCAGATGCATCCACGTACGTCTTGATGCCAAAACAAGGAAGTTGGCAATTTCCAGAGTCCAAAAATGGACAAAAACAACAAACCTTTGGCTTTACAATCAAGTTGTTGCACAACTATAAATGTCCACCCTCTCTAGACATTAAGTCCTCACCACCCTAATCACATTTATTCTTCTACAAGTACATACCGCAAGTACAACAAAAGATTTGGGATTTGAGAGATGGCTTCAAAAAGACCTAGACTTAATCTCTTCCTGGCTCTCATCTTCCTTTTCTCTGCCCTTGTCAATGCCAACAACCCTAGCCCTGTCCCTAATAGAGTTGCCTGCCCTAGGGATGCCCTAAAATTAGGGGTTTGCGCTAACGTGCTCAGTGGGTTGGTTAACGTTAATGTTGGTCAAGTTCCAGTGAGACCTTGCTGCACTATCCTCCTTGGCCTTGTAGACCTCGAGGCTGCTGTGTGCCTTTGCACTTCCATTAAAGCCAGAATTTTGGGCATCAACCTCAACATTCCCGTTGCTCTCAGCTTGCTTCTTAGTGCTTGTGGAGATAAGCTTCCAGATGGGTTCCAATGTTCCTTATAAAACTACGTACAAATATCGTTTCTTTCTGTGATATCATGCGGTTTTTTCTTGTTATGCATCATGCATGCATGAAGTGTCAAATAATAGTTGTGTGTAATGCGAGGATGAAAGTGGAATTTTATTCGTGCGTCATTTGCATGGTGATTAATTAGTAAATAAGGTTAAGGTCCCTCTAATGTTTACTCATAAAATTGTGTAACCTATCATTATGGGAATAAATATTATCACAAGATTAATTTTATTTATACTTAGGATGTGAGGAGAGGAATTTGTATGAAGTTTTAGTGTGGAAAATGAGGAATATTGTTAGGTATTAAAAAAAATCTGATTTCCTTTTTCTTTTTCAAATCATTGCTAAAGATTTCACTGGGCAAGATGCGTGCGTGCCTTGCATGTGGCGCACGTGCCAACGTTAAAAAAATTTAATTTGTTCATTGACATCAACACTTTTAGGCAGCAGCTCGAACTGATCTTGCCTTAGTTTGATGGAGCCCACAAGTTGCCAGGGGCTAGTTTTGCTTGGTGGGGGGAGGGGTAGGGGAGTTTCAGCCCAGGGGGCCTTTTCATAGGATTTAGTGTTTCCCTAAAACTTTGTGCAGCATATTTGTCGATCACGAGAGGCCTACAAGCTTTGCGAAGATATGCATGCATATGGAGACAAAACTGTCGATCTCGCCCGCAAGGAAAGCAAATTATTCTCCATATCTATAAACTTTTGGAGACTTCCAAAATATACCTTGCCGCAAAAATAAAATCGATTAATAAACATCATATCACTGGTTAATCCCTAGGTACACTTTTGACGTAATACCGATCGAATCATCGGAAATTTCTCTACAACGTGTGAATGGAAAGACTAACTTGGGTTTTAATTTGGAAGCGATCACACATATTTTCAAATATTGAAGCTGTGGTGGAGCCCATTGTAGGTCCAGCCTTCTTCTAGAGATGTACTGTCCGTGACACTTCCTTCCACCAAGAATCTGCCAAGAATCATGCATACTTCATGCGAGACTAAAATAATTACATATGTCTTATAGTTTTCTTCAACGTACCTTTCGAATATATATTAACTACCTCTCAAATATATATACATATATATTATATGTGTGTTTCTTGCATGATTTGAAAGAACGAGTTATAGAATTTCTTTAATTTCTCATGTAGTTGTATACAATTATGTGTCTATTTCACTTATCTCGTGTAATGTCACATAATGAGGGAGATAGAAATACATAGTTGCATATAACACGTAATAAAGAAGAAAGATTCATAAACGTACGTACCATAATGACCTAACTAGTTAAAACAAAATGGTTGTATGAAACTAGTACTAGTGATGAGTTTATAGGCACTAATCTGGGACTGAAAATCTGATGATGAACTTCACACGCATGGCAGGGGCATATGAAGTTAATCTTAAGATTTTTGGTTTGGCGGCAATGTCGACAAAACTTTGGGATATGCCAAAACCAACGAAAATGGCCAGAGATCGTGAGAAATGACACTACCTAGCCACAAACGGCCAGAAGGCTACACTTGACTCCACTAAACCAAACCACATGTTCAAATGCGATAAAATGTGGCCCAAACACAACCGAAAAAGATCTTGAGGCCCTAGTTTCACTGGAATTGAGGTATCAATTTATGAACAATCACGTACATATTGATGCCAAAAAAAGGAACTCGGCAATTTGCAGAGCCCATAATGGGCAACAAGCCAAACATTTTGGATTTACATCTACTTATTCTGCCAGAAAAAAAAAAAACGAAAACCGTAAGCACACATGGAAACTCGGATCATTAATTTTATTTTACTGTATTTCCTGTTAACATCAAGTTATTATACCTATAAATGTTCAATCTCTCTAGACATTAAGCCCTCACCAGTCACCACTACATATATTCTTCTACGAGTACTAGTAATTACTAAGTACAATAGCACACAAGATTTAGGGTTTGAGAGATGGCTTCAAAAACTACTGCCTCACTCCTCGCTCTCAGCTTGCTTCTTAGTGCTTGTGGAGATAAGCTTCCAGATGTGTTCCAATGTTCCTTATAAAAGTACGTACAAATATCATTTCTTTCTTTGATCTCATACGGCTTTTTCTTGTTATGCATCCATGCATGCAAGTGTCAAATAATAGTTGTGTGCAATGCGAGGGTGAAAGTGGAATTCGTGGCTCATTTGCATGGTGATTAATTAGTAAATAAGTTTAAGGTCCCTAATGTTTACTCATAAAATTGTGTAACCTATGATTATGGGAATAAAATATTATCACAAGATTAATTTTATATATACTTATGATATGAGGAGAGGAATTTGTATGAAGTTTTGGTGTGGAAAGTGAAGAATATTGCTAGGTATTTATAAGCCCATGGGGATTTTTGCCATGGCGGTGAAAGTGATCTTAGGGATTTCTCAACTTCAAAGGAATTAATGTTTAACCTCATTGTCCCTAAAACTTAGCATTCAGCTCCAATTAATATGTAAGTACATCTTGAGTAATTTTTTTTGATGTGACACTTACCCTTTACGTTATGCTATTACTTCATTCATGAGTGTATTTATTTATTATTATTATTATTATATCATAAGTTTATGACATATGAATCATGTTGTTCACTCATATTTTAACATGTGAATTAGTAACACAATATAACGGCGCAATACGAAAATTTTTGGAGAAAAAAAAGAACACAATTCACATCAACTGTCTTAGAAAAATGTGGTTGCCCCCAAAGTTGGCAAGAGTAACTTCATAGGAATTAATGTTTCCCTAAAACTTAGTGCAGCATATTTGTCGAGCAAGAGAGGCGTACAAACTTTGGGAAGCTATGTATGCATATGGAGACAAAACTGTCGATCTCGCCCGCAAGGAAAGCAATTATTCTCCATATCTATAAACTTTTGGAGACTTCCAAACTACATCTTGCCGCAAAAATAAAATCGATTAATAAACATCATATCACTGGCTAATCCCAAGATACACTTTTGACTTAATACCGATTGAATAATCGGAAATTTCTCTACAACGTGTGAATGGAAAGACAAACTATGGTTTTAATTTGGAAGCGATCGACACATATTTTAAAATATTGAAGCTCCGGTGGAGCCCATTGTAGGCTCACTCAGCCTTCCTCTAGAGATGCACTGTCCGTGACACTTCCCTCCACCAAGAATCTGCCAAGTTATCATGGAAGACTAGCTAGAATCATGCATACTTCATGCAAGACTAAAATAATTATATATGTATTATAATTTTCTTCTAAGTACCTTTGAAATATATATTAACTACCTCTGAAATATATATATATATGTCTGTTTCTTTCACGATTTGAAAAAACGAGCTATAGGATTTCTTTAATTTCTCATGTAGATGTATACAATTATGTGTCTATTTCACTCATAACGTGTTATGTCACATAATAAAGGAAATAGAAATACATAGTTGCATAAAGTAATAAAGAAGAAAGATTCATAAACTTATACCATGCTGACCTAACTAGTTTAAACAAAATGGTTGTATGAAACCAGTATAGTGATGAGTTTGTAGGCACTATAATCTGGTACTGAAAATTTGATGATGAACTTCACAAGCAGGCAGGTGCGTGTGAAGTTAATCTTCAGATTTTTTGTTTGGCGGCAATGTCGACAAAACTTTGTGATATTCCAAAACCACTGAAAATGGCCAAAAGGTCGTGAGAAATGACACTACCTCGCCACAAACGGCCAGAAGGCCATATTTCACTCCTAGAAGTACCCCATTAGTCATATGAACAAACCACCAAACAAAACCACATGCTCAAAATGTGGCTCAAACACAACCCAAAAAGATCTTCATGCTGTAGTTTCACTGGAACTGAGGTATCAATCTAAGAACAATTTAGTATGCGATATGCATCCACGTACTTATTGATGCCAAAAAAAGGAACTTGGCAATTTGCAAAGCCCATAATGGGCAACAAGCCAAACATTTGGCTTTACATCTTCTTGTTCTGCCAGCAAAAAACGAATACCGTAAGCACGCATGGAAACTCGGATCATTAATTTTATTTTGCTGTATTTTCTGTTAACATCAAGTTATTACACCTATAAATGTCCAATCTCTCTAGACATTAAGCCCTCACCACTAGGGGTTTGAGAGATGGCTTCAATGCCTCACTCCTCGCTCTCAATCTCCTTTTCTTTGCCCTTGTCAATGCCAACCCTAACCCTGCCCTTAATAGAGTTGCCTTGGCCTGCCCTAGGGATGCCCTGCAATTAGAGTTTTGTGCAGACGTGCTCGGCGGGTTGGTTAACGTTAACGTTGGTCTAGTTCCAGTGAGACCTTGCTGCACTATCCTCTTGGGCCTCATAGATCTCGAGGCTGCTGTGTGCCTTTGCACTGCCATCAAAGCCAGAATTTTGGGCATCAACCTCAACTTCCTCGTTGCTATCAGCTTGCTTCTTAGTGCTTGTGGAGATAAAGTTCCAGATGGATTCCAATGGATCATTCATTTCTCTAACTTACGCGGCTTTTTCTTGTTATGCAAGTATCATATAATTGCGTGTAATGTGCGGGTGAAATTGCGAATTTTTTCTTCGTGCCTAATTTGCATGGTGATAGATTAGTGAACAAAGTTGAAGTCCTTGATGTTTGCTAATAAAATTATGAAACTTATGATTATGGGAATCAAATACCACTTCCTTTTTTTTTCAAATAATTCCCAGAACCAAAAGAAGAAAGCTGCAGTAATCCCAGATCCCACATAAGCAATGTTTGTTTTTTATCTCTGTGTACCTTTTATGATATACGTTATTTTACATGAAATTTTTATAACTGAAAAGGAGATTCAAAAAATTCTGGAGGCCCTCGCGAAACATAAAATATGACCTTTATATGAACTCAAATTCAAGATTATAGCATAAAAAAAGACATTAATGTTGTGATCTCCAGCCACTTATTTAGAAATTATATGACCAAGAAAAAGGGGTGGGGGTCCCAGATTTAGGAGTGGGCACCGCAGACGTAAAACTGGGACCTATTGCCAAAACACGAGTCATCTCAAAGTTAGACACGGGCAGTAGCTCCTGGACCCAGAGGTTGGACATGAGACGTATGACCCGGTTGCTTTACAAATTCCTATGACTTTAAATTCCATATATTTACAAAATCTCATCCATCTTTTTGAATTTCTTGGAGGTAACAAATACTTGATTCAAACACAACCTTAGTTCAATACTAGTAAAATTTGAAACATTTGATTACTAAATCTTTGGTAATGGGCTTGTAGTTCAAGTGATGAAGAGCAATTTACCTTTACATTCAAGGTCCTGATATCCTGTGAAAGTACCACTAGCTAGTTGATCTAACCATGTGAAAGTACCACTAGACCAAGAGCTAGTTGATCTAACCAATTGAACATTAATTCTAGGACAAAGTTTTTAATGTGCCTAAAACATTGTGATTTTTTCAGTCGCACCATTGTCCCTTGACCAAAGGTTCATACCCGAAAATCTTGATGCCGTATAATTCTCTGGAATTGAGGTATCAAGAACAGTGCATGATGAGATATATGCATCCACAGATTTGTCCCAAGACAAGGAGCCTGGCAATGTGGCAGCCCCCACCACACAAAAATACAAAAGTTTGCCTTTAATCTGCTTGCCCTGCCAGCTAAAATCACAAGCGTACACATGGGATCAGCTAGCTCAGATTATTTGTTTAATTTTCTATTAGCATCAAGTTGAACACCTCACCGTTTTTTAACCCTATAAAACCGCACTCCACTGGACCTTAATTCTTCACCACTCTCACATATACTTGTAAGTTCTATTAGTTCAACTAGTGTGCTAACTGCAAGTACAAAAACTGAAAAAAGAAAAAGAAAAACACTTCTAGGGTTTGATCAGAAATGGCTTCCAAAACAACTGCCTCCCTTAGTCTCTTCCTTGCACTCAATCTCCTCTTCTTTGCTCTTGTAAGTTCTTGTGGCACGTGCCCCGGTCCTAACCCGAGACCGAGGCCAAACCCAAGGCCAAGCCCAAGGCCAAGCCCCACCCCTTCCACACCTTCCACACCCTCCACACCTTCCACAGGCACCAGATGCCCTAGAGATGCCCTCAAATTAGGGGTTTGTGCTAATGTTCTCAATGGGTTGCTTAACATCACCATTGGTAAACCTCCTGTAGCGCCTTGCTGCAGTCTCATCCAAGGCCTTGCTGATGTTGAAGCTGCTGTGTGCCTCTGCACTGCGATCAAAGCCAACATTTTGGGCATCAACCTCAACATTCCAATTTCTCTGAGCTTGCTTCTTAATGTTTGCGGCAATAAGGTTCCTAAAGATTTCCAATGTGCCTAAAACGACAATTGCCATTTGTTCGATCATCTTTGTGCTTTATCTTTCTCTTTGTTATATCTTCTGGCGTGAAATTGTTTGTATTGTGTGAGTGTAAGTGGGAATTTCTCGTTTCCTTTGTTATGGCGGTTTCCACATGGGGTGATTATTATGAATAAGTTTAAGTTAATGATGTTTCTATTTATGTAATCTTTTGGAAACTAATATAATTTAATTTGCTTAACTTTTCATTTCGAAAATTCTGTAGGCATCATTTGCTTAACCTGATCCTGATCCCTTCCTAGAAGCCCCAAAAAAAGAGGGGCAGTAACACTCACATAACGTTATTTGGCCTTAAATTTTGTATAACAAGTTAAATTTAGAAAGAAAATAAAGTAGCCCATCCCAGTGCAAATTTGGAGTTATATATGAAAATTTAATTTATTAATTACCAATTAATCTTCTCAATACTGTTAACACTGGAATGAGAAGTTACTTGCACTTGGCCCAATAATAGCACTAGTTCACATGCAGCAGCATGCAAACTTGCAATGGAATTTATTTTGATTTGTAGACGTTGGTTAGGCCAGTTGGCTAAGGTTGTATGCTCACTCCCTTGCACTCGAGTTTAATCCCCCTTTAATACGTACATTAGAGTAATTTAACATATCGCTTTGTTTTAAAAAATATATATATGTATGTATTTTAACTTGGTTAGATTTCAATTGGATATTTCAACAAAGATTCTTTCATAATTAGCGTGCGTAATTTTTGTGAACAAAATTGTCTTCTTTTTCAGTACTGATGTGCCCTGTTGATGTTATGTGTCTCTTTGTACTCACATGTACATATGTCAACTTCAATTTCAGAATCATTGAAAGTAATCACATCATGCATTAATTATAAATATAATTCACATGCATACTGATCAGATAAAAAGAAAAGAAAAGAAAAGAAACCAAGTGGGCATGAAGTTGGTATGGTCGACTACGTCTATTCAAGCACATAGATTTGTGCCCAGGAAGAAAAGGTGGATCGTTATAACATACCAAATGTCATCTAAGATGTCGTTTATTTGTTGGAGCACTTGGGAGTTAAAGAGATACGACTCCAACTTTTGGCACAAAGCTACTTTTTTTGTTCACCGATGGTCCCTTAAAGCAAGCCTATATGACAATTATTTCTCACTGTTCAATCCGTGACTGATGAGGATGGGGTAAGCAAGAGAAATGCATATCCATCCTTAGCTTGGAAATGAAGAAAAGGAACTTTGATTCATTTGTATGCACTTCCTTTTCAACGCTATATTTTTTTTAAAAAAAGGCAAAGGTCCCAACCCACTTGTGTTTGATTTTTAGCATACCAAATTATGTCATAATTTCAAGAAAATGATCATGATGCCCATCCAAGAGTGTTTAATACTTCCAAGCTATGCCAATAATCTTTTTTGTTTTTTGAGATAATTGGTGTGTCGGTTTCACCTTACGTGTTGTTATAAGTTCACTCAAATTATAACGCGTATACAATTATTGTATTCCGTTTGTATCATTAGGAAGATTGATCAATTGGTATATAATAGAATATTTAAATTAACTGCTTTTTTTACATATATATACACATATATCTCTATCAGCTTCATGAGGAAGGTTTCTCAATTTGAACGGTAGAGGAAGGTGCCTTAATCTTGGATTGATCCCCAAAGTAGATAGATTAGTTGGTCCCCCTTTCTTAACCCACCATCTCAGGCTTCTCAGCCCCGTGAACAAGTTTTGGCACATTCAAATCTTCTATGATATCAAACAGAGAAACGAGGGTTTCTTTGGTTGGTTCCAAACACGGATGATTGTAAGAAAAATATTTGTTTATGAATGGAAAAAAAACAATAGTTCCTCCTGCAACGTAGAGTTGGTATTGATAGTCCAACAAAAAAGACAGAAACGCAGAGGGCATATTTGATGTGATTATTTCGTTATCTAATGCTTAAAGTTATGAGATGGCTGCATATGATCGATACATCTCTCTCTTTCACATGGAAATGAGATCTATTTTATCTGTTATGATAAATTTGTTTTTCGTTTGTATCCAGAGGAGGGGCTTCAGGTTGATTGATATAAGAATCTCCCCAGTCAAGATATGTCAACTTGGATTGAGAATATAGGCAATAATAGCTTCAGATTATCAGGATATCAGTGTACTGTTGGGCCCAGAATCGGGTCAGGATGAGAACAAAACTACTTATGCTTCGCCAGAGCAAGAAATCGACCCTAGATCAGCACCAACATGGGGGTCTCTTACCAAGCATATCCGATTAACATCGCTAATTAAAGGGTAAAAAAATATAAGGGAGAAATTGCATATGGAGGAGTACATGGTAATGATGATATCAATAACTTATAAAACAAGCGAATGGATTAAAGGCGCTTCATTTTCTTTAATTTTGCGATTGAGTTAATGAGTTTTTATGTAATTGTCTACTTGGTAGATATCAATCATTGTGTTTTTCATGGCCCTCTATAAGTATTATGTTTAGTTGCCTATACATACGTCATTCTTAATCAAACAAATACTACGTACTTGTATGTAATTAACTTGTTATTAGCACAAGAAAAGATATACCAATTCAAGTAACACGAATTAATACATCAAGAAACTAACACCATATTCTAATTAACCTGGCTAGAAATGTTAACCCCACGTTAACAAAAAAGTACACACTTAGAGAGGAGGGCATACAAAACCAGGGGGAGGAGTCTTCCCACAAGTAATCAAAGCTTGAAGAGCAAGAGGAATGAATATGTTTAGGTTAAGAAGCTTAAGCCTTATAGTAGTGCAAAGACAAATGGCTGCTTCAAGCTCAAGCAACCCTCCAAGAATTGGGCAGCAAGCATTCTCAACTGGGTTCCCAAGCCCAATATGCACCAAACCACCAAGCACGTCCACACAAAGCCCCAACTTAAGCGCATCAATTGGACATGTTGGTGACGTGGGCGGAGGAGGGTTTGGACCCGGAACACTTCCACCTCCACCACCACCACATCCACCACAACCACCGCCTCCACCTCCTCCGCCCCCTCCGCCCCCTCCACCCCCTCCTCCTCCTCCTCCACCACCAGGAGGGCTGCCGGGGTAAGGCGGGTAGGGAGTGGAAGGGGGTCGGATTGTCACAGGAGGGTTAGTGACTGGAGGTTTTACTATGGGCGGGGATACAACGGGTGGGTTCTTGGATGGGGGTTTTGGGTGCGGTGGAGGTTTTACTATGGGCGGGGATATAACGGGTGGGTTCTTGGATGGGGGTTTTGGGTGCGGT